TTAAATGATAAAGGATGTATAAGACGTCATGATTTTAAGGAAGTGACTAAAGTACGTAGGCATTATATAGTGAGATGTGACCATTACCTAGAAAAAGCTAAGCCAAGTAGTTTCTCATTGTTAGGACAAATATCACACTTAGCGGTAATGTAGCTTGAATAAGGGACGGCTTCCGGGCCTACACAGTGTAGCTGAGACAAAGGAGGAGCTTAATCAGTCCTAACGTAAGAGGAATGGAAAAAGCTCAACATAAAATTTGGATTGAGACTGCCTGGCAAACGACAGACTCTTAAATCAGCTATACACTTTATAATAAAAATACATTAACTCAAAGGCAAAGCAAAGTGAAAAAGACATGGATGGGATGGTCAATTATATGTTCAATAAATGCAAATAAATTTGTGAGGTTGACAAAACCAATATCCAATAAAGTGGAAGAGACAGCTGCCTTTAAAGAAAATCCCAGGAGTGTTTTTATTAACCAAATTTCCACACTCTGAGAAAGCTAGATCAGCTATAAATCTTAATGAACCAAATATAATAGTAGTGAAATACATAAAGCAAAACTCTTAAACTACAAATATCAGGTTATAAAACTTCAACATAATGGGTGATTTTGATATACAGTTTTCAGAGGCAATTGATGATGTAAACCTAATTGACAAATCATTTAGAAGCTTTAAATACCATGACCAATACATTCTACTAAGTAACAATGTCTACAACATTAGGCTTTACATAGAAGCTCTATACATCCAGTGCTAAAAAAGGAATTGTATTACTGTCTTGGAAGATATAAATTACCACAGCATTTTTAGACTATAATCTGACAAGGAACATATCTACCTTTATGCTTCTTATTACACTTAGAAAACTCTTATAAAAATTAAATCCATGTGCTTATTAATTAAAGTGCTATTTTAAATGCAGTAAGAAATGCAGTAAGGAATGGAAAAGCAATAATGTAGTAGAGGGATAAGTTTAAAATGTTATTGAATACTATGCAGCCATTTGAAAACTTAAAGAAATTTGATAGATTTTCAATGGAGGAAGGTTGACTTGGAAGAATTTCAAAATACTTTCAGGAAGAATGAAACACATTTTAGGCTAATATGACTACTGTGTTTTAATATTTAAATTTAAAAGCCCTCCCTGTATGTATGCTTCAATGGCATACTTAGAGAAGCGTAACATTTTATTAAACGGAAACCAGACTTTTAGGTGTTTACCTCATGGAGTAAGCGTCGGAGTTGGTCAGTAAAAGCCTTTTCAACTTTGGAAGTTGTAGACAGAATGCAGATAGATGGCAAAGCCACAGCTGCCACCCACCTAAGGCAGGGCATAGTAGACACTCATGAACTATTCAGTCAAGTGTTGTCAGACACGGACTGCGACCAAGGGGGGTCTGCTGACTGATTTGTAAATAGGTTCTTGCAAAGTCGCAAGAAAATAATTTCGGGACTCACACATAGGAGGAGGTATAGTGGCAAGATTTAATGGAAGGGCATGCTGGGCCTACACGTCCTTGAAGAGGCAGCCACACTGCCTCATCCACGACCAGGTGGCCCAGCTCTGTCTCCCTGCAAAAGAAGTCCAGTCTCCAGGGCCGCAGGCCCACACTTGTCCCCACCAAGTCCAGAAGGTAGGTCAGGACCCAGAGCTGCCATGCCACCAGCTGGCATCCAAGGCTTCAGGAATCCAGCAGTGTCTGTCCTGTCTGGCCCACCTGGCTGCTAGGGACAGAGGACGTACCTGGGGACTTTATTAAGTTTTGGTTATATCGTCTTGGGTCTGGGAAGGGGTAAGCTTTCTTTCACACTAACCAACCTTCTTCCTAATTTGTCATGGGCTTGTGCTGGGCCCTCCCCTTCCTGGATCTCCCTGGGTCTTTGTGCCTTATTCTATCCCATCTTTTCCCCAGATTTTCCAGGCTAGACTCCTCCACCTTGGGGCTATCATTTTGGCCCCTACCACGCAAGTCTCCGGGCTCTGTTGCACCATCTGACTTCCCCGGGGCCTGCACCCGGAGGAGGGCTTTCCCGCTCGCTGGCTCTGAGCTCCCCCAGGGAATCCCGGCAAACCGGCCAGCTGTCCCTTGGGGAGGCTGGCAGGCCACACTCTCCTGCCTGCTCCGGGATTAACGCCTCTCTGATGGAGAAAGGGGCTGTCCCTTCCTAGTTAATCAGGTTTAATGTCTGATTCCATTTGCTACCTTCCTCTGTTAATAACTAACTATCTAACTAACTAACTACTGTAACTCAAGTACCAACTCAGTGCCTGCAGTGCAGGGAATCAAGCCTAATCAGTGTAAGAAATTCTCTGTGCTTCACGAAACTAGTATTTTAGGAGTTAGTATAAGTTACCTGAAGTGTCCTCACAATGCCTCTTTATGCTTAAGTCATTTAAGTTTCAGATAATTCATTCGCAACCCAAAACTTTTACATAGAAGAAAAAATGAAAGCATGATAGGTTTATTTCCTTTTCAAATGGAGACACAGCTAATGGCACTTTGATAGGTAAAGGAAAGCAAGTACAATTTAAATGTCTGCATTATCATTCTGGCTATAATTTCAAGAGAAATAGGAACTTTAAATGTAAATAAAACTACTTTTAAAATTTTAACGACAGAACATGGATCAATTAAAATATGATCACAAATAATTTTTAAATATTGCAAAACATAACTCACAGTTTTGCATGAGTTTAGCCTGTTAAATGGTATTATACAGTTTAACATACATTGATTTAATTTTCCTGACTCCCCACGATGAAGGTGAGGCACATAGAGCCTCATCACCGTGCCCAGGACCACATGCACCAAAGAAGATGGTTTCAGACATTACATCGTGTTAGCAATCACCAAAAAATATTAATTGTTTAAATAAAGCACCTCTGGGATTTCTTGAAACAAATGACAAGAAAGTTTGTAACTGGCAAAAGCAGCACCTGTATTATAAAAATATCAAATAAAGTATAATTTAATACAACTCATCTAAAAAAGGGAAAAGAGTGATATCCTTTATCATAAAGTTTACAACCCATCAATAAGATACAATAGCTGTTTGAGTTTGTATTAACAACACAACATATGGTCAAGGTACCAAAGACCAAATTTGAGTAATCGTCAGTTAATATTAATAACAATCTATAATATTACTTGCATTATTTTTAAATTATAAGATAAATTGCCCAGATTTTACATAAAGAACCAAAACAACAATTTGAAACAGAGTAAAAGTACAAGGTAGGAAATTAATAAAGATGCTTTCAGAAATTGATAAAACTGAAAATATTTTAAAAGACCTACAAAAGAGATAAAGCACGATTTTCAAAACAAAATATATATCCTTAGTCCCATGTTCGTCCTTACCCTGATTTACAAAAAATGGCATTTTCACATTCCAAAAAATATTTTAGGAATAAATATTATACTTGAAGTATGACAGAATGTAAGAAATAAATGTTAAAAAAGAGATATTCATGCACCATATGTTTTTAAATTTATGTATAAAAGAAAAAATGCCTGGAATAACACTCACCTCACAGATTACATTTGATGGAAAATACTGAATTTTGAGTGAGTTAAAAAGATCTTTACTGTTTACTTATATTCTTTTGACGAGATGGGATTGTGATACTCTTCAAAAGTGTCAAGGTGAAGACAGACAAAGGCTCTAGAATAATCCCAAACTGTAGTATACTAAGGAAACATTACACCTAAACAAATGCGGTATCCTGGATTGCATACGGGAAACAAAAAAGAAAAATGGGGAAAAACACGTAGAATCTGAACAAAGTTTGTAGTGTAGTTAATAGTAGTGCACTAAAGTTAATTTCCTAGTTTTGAGAATTGTGCGATAGTTATAGGAGATGTTCACGCAGGAGAGGTTGAGTGAGGGTCTGTAGGAGTCTCTGCACTATCTCTGCAACTCTTCCGTCAACATAAACTTACCTCAAGATACAAAGTTAAAAGAAAATTCCAAACAACAGAAAATAAACTTCTGGCCAAAAAGCTTTATTGGTGAATTTTACCAAATGTTTAATGAATAAATAATACTAATGCTAAACAAACTGATTAAGAAATCAGAAGAGAAAGTAACACTTAAGGGAGGTATTCCCAGGGAACCAAGATCAGGCAAGACACTGCCAACAGAGGAAAATCCTCATCGGTATCCATAATTAGTATAGACAGATAAGAATATCACATCTTTACCAAAATATTAGTAAATAAAATTCAGCAATATACATACATGAACAAATTGGTTTAATCTCAGGCAGGCAGTATTGGTTTATCATTCAAAAAATCAATTAATGTTAATTCACCCAATAAACAGACTGAAAATGAAAAACCATATGAACCTCAACACAGATGCAAAAAAATAGATATTAGGATACATTTAACATCCATTCATGATGAAAAGAACAACAAAATAGGAATATAAGGGAATAGCCTTCAACCGAGGAAGGGAATCTACAAGTAAACTACAGCTAAAATTATGCTTATATTTTGAACTAACTGTAGTATGTCTCTTTTTTGCCTCTTATGACAATATATCTTTGTTTTCTATCTCCCACTGACTTTCCTTTTTACTATTGATATTCTCCATCAAGTGATACAGGTTTAGTGACATAAAATCATATTTTTCTATCCAGTTGTAATTGCACAACTTGGATGTGCCTTATACAATAAATATACTGTCATAATATTACAAAGACTAGTTTTTGTTTTTCAACTATGGCATCATCCACTAGTCAAAGCACTTTAAGAAAAGAATTTAAGTGCAATAATTCTTAATTTTTAAAAAATATAGATAAATATATAGTGCACAGAGAGATTGCAAAAACCAATAAAAAAAAAAGTAAAGGTTAAATTTCTTCAAGACATTGATTAAAATTGATGGGTCAGTAAAAACAACTTTACATATAATATTTAAGGCCATTGAGATAAGTAATAAAACAGTTGAAAATAATGTCACTTACTGTTGTTGGCAATGAAGCAGAATGTCCTTCTCGGGAATTATATTCTGAGATAAATGTTGTTATCTCTCACAAAAGGTCACCAACAGATAATGCCAAAAGTTGATAACTGAAGAAGCAGAGGCGTTCATTCGTTGAATCACAGGTGATACAAAGGGTCTGAAATATCAATGAAGCAGACTTTGACTTTTCATTTTCTGCTCTCATATTGTTTGAAATAATTGTGCACACAAGACATGCATGGACACACACACAGTGAGTAAAGAAGAGAAAGAGGAGTATAACTCCTAATAAATTAAATATAATTTTACTTCCTCCCTTTTACAGGGTTTAGATTGTCTTTTATCCCATTGAAAATCTATTTTTTTCAAAAGCTGTGTGCATGCTGTATATGTGTGTGTGAGTACTTCCTATCACTCCAAGTCTCTTAAAATAATCAAATCATCGACAAAGCTAAGGTGATTTGTTCATGGATATAAACAGGATTAAGACATTTAAACTCTTGTTCTCTGCTGGCTTAAAAAGCAACCCTTGCCAGATGTATCTGGAATGAAATGGATCATCAATACAACAGAGTGGAGGTTCTGTCTTTAAATAAGACGGGATGCTGCACATTTTCAGTTAAAATTTTAATTAAAACCATGTATAATTGTTGCCTATATGATTTTTGCTACAAGGCCTTATATATTCCAATAGTTATCCTGTTAATAATCTAGATATTCTCTGCTAAGTGTGAAATAAAGTTGATGTGAAACTGTATGCCTGGAGATACTCATTCTTTCCTCAGATAGGTTAGAAAAGGATTGCCGACAGCTACATTTCAGTCTTAATAGCTCTGTTCTTTGGCTTAGCAATTCTTTCTCCTAGTCTTTATTATAATACAAAATTTCCAACACATATGTATGCATTCCCTTGGCTATTATATTTTAATAGAAATATTCACCAGCTTTTGATCTGTTGGCTCAGGTTTTTAAATTAAATTAATTGGGGTGACATCGGTTAATAAAATTATATACATTTCAAGTGTACAATTCTATGATACATCACCTGTAGGTTGCACTGTGTGTTCACTACCAAAATCAAGTTTATAGCATAATAGTTATTGCATTTTCTGCTCTTTCACATTAAAAGAATCACAAATAATACCCTGTTTTCTTTCCTAAGTACAACAAAGTCTGTTTAAATTTATTTCATGAAAATGCTGTCCTTAAAGATTACAAAACACCGTAGGAGTATATAACACCCAGGGATCAGGGAGGCAGACACATAAACAAAATCACTCTGAGCCATAACAATAATGATAATCACACTTCAGTTTTGCAATAAGATATTCTGCAAAATCTAATAAACTGGGCAAACTCCATTTGTATGAAACACTCATATCTCAACATTAGGATATCTCGGGATGCCTCAGAAAAACAGGCTCCTTCAAGGACATTTACAACAGCTTCCTAAAGACCCTCAGTGGTGACAACTAGGGGGAGCAGAATAGCAGCTGCCTGGTGAATTATATTTTACTGCAAAGACAGGAAAATCACCGAATCAGAACTTCATAATTATATTGTGTGCCTAACTCATACTTTCAAAAGTGATGCTGCAAACTCAGGAAAACAGTGAAAGAAAAAGTGGACGAGCACCCCCGGCATCCAAGAAGGTGGAGTGGGGTACAGAGAGCAAGAGGCTTCGGGAAGCAGCAGGCATGAAAGTGTAGAGTACGAAAAGTCAGTATATTCAAATCACCTGCCACCTTGGAAACATGCTCTCTCCATCTGTGTGCCTTCCCCTCTGAAAACCTGCTGGATTTTAGTCTTGGTTCTTAGACAAAAATACCTTTTTTGAGATTCTATTGTGGGTGCTTTGTTTTTATAATTTCTTTGTGATTGCCTCTTAAATATAGTTCTCAAACTTTTCTTTGGTTTCATTTTGTACTACTTTGTTGAGTGTTATGTCCTGCCTCTTGGGGTTTTTTTGTTTGTTTCTTTCTTTATTCAAAATAATATATTTTACTACATATTGATATTATCTGTGGAGCTCTCACATTGCCCCTATTGTCATTATGCCCTGTTTATGAGGAATTTATGTTTAGTTTAGTTTTGTTTTTGAGAATCTGCTATATCGTGAAAAATACCCTAATAAACTGGCTAGAGTTACAGGAAACGGCACATTGAACTTTGTTGTTTTCCTTAGAATCCTTTCACTAACACAATTATGCTCCTTGCGATGTGCCTTTCCCTTTCGAATGCTCCATTTACCTTTGATTAAAAATGCTGTAAATCCAAGGCAAAAATCAATGAAATATAGCTTCCAAATATAGGGACACTTCAACAAGTTGAGGAAGGATTCTGATAGCTGGTTCACACCTGTGTAGATCCTAGTTAAGGTACAGAATGTTCCCATTCTCCAATTCTCTAATTATCAGCAGGGTGTTACAGAAAAATGTCTCACCTACCAGATTCAGGTGCAGGTACAAGTAGAAGAAAAACAATGTGTGCCCATAAGCTCTGTAAGCTAAATTAATAATAATAATAATAATAATAATAATAATAATAATAATAATAACCTGGCTTATAGAACTTTGGTAACAGACCAAAAAACTCCTGGTATGGTGAATTTTCTAAAGTAGTGTTGCTAACGTGTAGTATATTTTATCACTGGAATTAAGCCATCATGTTGCAATCCAAATCTTTTGTGCACATGTGAATTTTTCCAAGTGAAGCAAAGATACATGAAGAAAAAGCTCAAAGGGGAAAATGAGCCTCCACCTCACCACCACCACCACCAAGAAGCAGAGACACTCTAGAAAAAGCTTCTAGCTCTTTTTGATACACGAAAACGATGTTAAGTGGAGGCTACATTTTCATGAAGTCCATTTTGGATGTCCTTCCTTCCACCATTTATTGGGATCACACTTATTCTTTAGGGAGCCACTAATTTTCTAAATCCTTGAGGTATCTGAACTGAAACGCTCAAACTTTCATCAAGAACTGATGTATGGAGCAGAGTCAAGCAACCAGCAACCCAAATTAAACAAAACAAAACAAAACAAAAAAATTTGCACAATTGATATATTCCCTGGTTTATTTTTTCACGTTGAGAGATGTATCATTTGACTGAGATTCATTTTATTGTTTTTTTCATACTGCTGTGAAGTGTTTAAAGACATTTCTTCCTTCAACATTCTTGCATCTGCCTAAATTCCATTCCAGTGAAACCCTGTCATACACTAGATTCCACAATCTCTACAACAGTCTTTTCATCCACCCTCTCTCCTGATATATTAAAAATTATGTTTTTCACAAAGTAACTGTTATTCTACTCAGGGTTCCTGAGCATTTCATTGTTGAGAAATTTGCTTTCAATTATAAAACTAGTCACAGTATTTCATTTGTGTATCCAGGAACACCTGTGCCCACAGAGATAGGGAAGGAGTCAATTAATTATAGTTCTAAAGTTAAAACATGGACAAAATTAACCTATAGCATCTGTAAAACATTATAGTCTAATAAAGAGCAATCAATGCAGTGAGTATATATGCACTATTATGTTTTATCAAGGTTTTATAGTAATGATACAACAGAACTGAAAAAACAAATTTTTTTTGTCTCTCTAAACCAAGCTATCAGGTTTGTAACATCGATTTTCCTTTCTCACAGACATAATTCCACGCACGCAAATTATGCAAAAATGTATTTTCTCTCTTCCTAAACTGTTAGCCTATTATTTTTTAAGATTTTAAAGAATGTTGAGAAGAATTAATACTCGTTCAAGGAGAGAAATGACTGAACACAATCTTCTGTCTGTGGGCTGTTTCCAGTCCCTGTGGTCTGGTAGGAATTGCTGGTGACTTTGATGGACTTTGTGCTCTCATTTGCAAAAAAGGGGGAAGGGTTGTGACCAAGTAGGCAACATTTTTGTACATTTGGATACATTGCTTGAGTACTATAATACACAATTTGCTAGTTTATTTAAATGTTATTGACATTTTTCTTCATCAGTTTATATTTATTCACATTATGATAAACTGCTGAAAAGAACGTCTGAGCAAAATTATAGCCTACAAAATTTTTTATTTTGTTTTTGTTGTGTTTTGGCTAATGTGAGACTAATAGCAACCAGCGATATTCTCAGTGGCAATTTTGCTACTTTTTTCTATTAGAATCCATTAACTTAATAGTATCCGAAGAACAATTCATTTGCATCTCTATTTCATAATATCCAGAATTCCTTTTCTCATTATCACTGTAAGCTTGAGTTCACCCAGGCTAAAACAAAAATATCTAGACGTCCCATTCAACATGGATAAAACTCTTCTTATATGATAGGCAGTGGCTTAGAATATTAAGGGTGGAAAAAATTAAATAAGATACATTCGCTAACCTCTAACAGGAAAAAAAAAAGAAGTTAAACAGAAAATGAAGCCTGTAAAGAGATATTTATCTAATAGTTTAGGGCTGGTACCAGGAAGAAATGAAACTTACCTATGTAGTAAGTGATCCTCTGCCATCATCCTCCGTATAGACAGTGAAATGGAAACGGACAAGTGGCGGCCGCTTCAACTTTTATCCTAATCTGAGTCATGGAAGCGTGAGAGAAAGATTAATTCTATTCAGGGATCAAGACAAAGTTACTTAGTCACATTTATAAAATTAAATAAAGCTGGGTGATTCAGCAGAATTGTTTGCATAAAATGAAAGGTGACCAAGGGAAGAAATAAGACTTATCTTTAATTAAGACGGTAAAAAACAGTTGTACTAGAACCCAGAGGTTATAGAAATACAAGTGAGAAATAAGTATTTGAAATTGTCTTGGGTGTCAAATTGTATGTCTTATATTTATCACTAATGAAAAATCACATAAGGTTCAGTCTTATTTAAATTTCAAAAACTATATACTTTGAAAATAGAGACTCCATCAAAGGCTTGTACTTCCATAATTAGTTCCAAGTCCTCCAGACTGGTTTTAATTCTTTACAACCAGATGTCCTGCAAAAGTTCTAAACTACTCCCCAAGTTGGCTTAAATTCACTCCGGTGGGGTTTTGCCCCCCCACAGGTTCACCGCTAATCTACAGGCGTCAAATCTGAGGGCCAGTCTACGCCTGAAACCCAAGTGAGAAGCACCTGCCTCAGCCACCAAAGGCTGTGGCTGCCAGTGTGCTTCGCATCAGGTGGCTCTTCCCTGGGCCGCTTCTGTGCGTGGTCCCACCGTTTCAGATAACTGTCCTTCACTGAAGCATCTGGAAGTGATGGGTGCTAGTTCATTCATTCTATTAACCAGAACAAATCCATAGTCAGCCTAACTGCAGGGAAGGCTGAGAATATAGGGGAACACAGGGATACTGGTGGGCCACCTTCTACATGAATTCAAGCTTAAATATACTTACATATGTAGAAACTAAAAGAAGAGAAAGGGTGAAATATAACATTTAAAATTGGTCATTGGAGGTAGAGAATGAAGGGCTACCTCTGAGATATACAGCATGATCATTGAAGTCTTTATTATAGGCAGGTTTCTTACAAAATATTGAAAACATGAGGACCCTGATAAAAAAGTAAGCAAAATGCATGAGTAAGAAATACACAACAGTATTATACATAAAATGAAAAAAATACAAATTAATTAGCAATTACTATTACCAAATACTATCAGTGCAATCACCAACCACTGTTAACTACCCGGTTAATACCAATCACTCGTGACCCAGCTTTAAAAATACGAGCAAGCCTTATGCACCAAAACAAACATGAGAAGCTGGATTAAAGGTGGACAAAGTCAGAAAAGATCATTTTTCTGCATAATCATTAGGGGAAGGGCAGAAGGAAGAGAGAGGAGAGCTTATAAGGCTGAGTATGGAGCAGAGTTTCAAGAGAATATGGTGAGTGAGAAGCTAAAGGGTGGCCCTAGGACGCAGTTTCACGCCGGTACCTCTCCCGGCAAAGTGGCTCCCTTCAGCCAAGAGCAATTCTGCAGAGCAGAGAGCACTGTGAGTCGAGTCGCCGTCAGCTAACTACAGCATCTGGAAAGTGCATGTGAGGGCTCAGGAGCAGTGTCTACTCTTGAGTAACATAAAGGGTAGGACTGTGACTATCAGACTCTTAAAATCAAAGACCTTACCCAATAACATATTTTACAGAGAATTTTAGGATACAGGCAATCATAGGGCCCAGGAGAAGCCATAGAGAAATCCAGGAGAATCTGCACAGCTCTCCAGACACTCTCCTCATCAGACACGTGTTGACTGTTGAGAGTGAGATGAGGTCTCTAAATGAAGATAACAGGCACCTCACAAGAGGGAGCACTTTAGATTATGCACCACTTTTATTTTAGATCCAAATACACATCTCATCTAAAATTTTCCCAGGAACCATTCTTGATAAATGCACAGATACCAGGTTCACTTAGAGTAGCAATTCTAAACCAGGCACATCTGGCCAAAAGCATCCCTTGCATAAGGATTCGTCTCTGAGCAAAATCATCAGTTTATATATCAGAACTTCTATTATAAGCATATTTCCATGAAAATAAGACTGTGGCATCTGCCTTCTTTCTTTCCTGGAGAGAAATAGATTGCAAGACATCTGCTTCCCAACCTAACTACATATATACACACATCTCCATCAACAACGGAATATACAGCTAAACTGTATTTTCAAACATTATGAAAGCATTTAGCCATTGGAAACAGAGAAATTTTGCATGAAAACACATAGTTAAGTGTTTCAGAAAATTTTGAACATAAAGTAAGACACAGAAGAGAACCTCTACTATTATTAGGTTAAGTTCCAAAACAGAGGAAATAAAACTATAAAGAATAGCAAGGAAATGCATGTCAACAAAGTCAGGTTTATGGTTACTTCTGAGAAGGAAAATGTGTAAGGTGATTGGAACCCAGAGCCTTCTGGGAGACTGGCCACATCTTATCTCTCCATAGGCGATACTATTGAGCGGTGTGGTTTAGAGTTATTTTTAGCCTACACTTACATGTTTTTGCACTTTCTGTGGGTGTGGTCTCGCAGTAAGAAAAAACAAAACCAGAAGCAAACGAAATTTGCAAAACTAAAACAGGAAAAGCGCAAGGGGGAGATTTTTCTGGGATGTTTATTTCCACTTCCTCCAACCATCTGTCTTGGAGTCTAACGCTGTTAATAAGATTGCTGGACTTCCTTCCACACTCTTTACATTTCTGAACTTAATGTTCTTTTTAAGAGAACTTTTTAAAAAAACAGAAAGCATTCCATAAATATGTCTTGTACATTTCCAGTTTTTAAAAAATTATTTCATGTCTTAAAATGGTTAACTGATACTAGCATCTGCAAAGTGAGAAAAGTATCTAGGGTACAAGGGTTGGATATGATATTGTCATTGACAACCATCCGGGAGCTTGTTGTCTTCTTTATTCCTCCTGAATATCGCCTTCACTCTTTTTTTTATCATTTTAATGAACTGAAATTATAAATGCCGTGTGGAATCTGCCAGTTCAAGCATATCTTGAATTCCGTAATATAATATATTCAGCGATGGATTAAGACACGTGTCTTCCCTGATCCGCAGGCTTATGACTGTTTAACAATGTGAAGTTGATCACATGCACTTTACCAACACGTATTAATAAGTCAAATTCTAAGTACTTTGAAAAAACGGTTTGCCCAGCACATCACAGCAGTGTGCTCATTTTGATTTTAAAACACTCATGGAAGGCTACAGCCATTTTTCCCTTGATTGTAAATAAATTTGGGTGACAACAAATTGTCTCAAATTTTGTCACATAACTAATGGAGGAATAAATGAAGAAAGCACTAATATTCTTTGGACACTGACGGTCTTAGTCACTTTGGGCTGCTCTAACAAATGCCATAGACTGAGTTGCTTGAACAGTAGACATTTTATTTCTCATAGTTCTGGAAGCTGGGAAGTCCAAGATCAAGGTGTCATTGATTCTTCTCCTGGTGAGAGCTCACTCTCCTGGTCTGCAGAGGGGCCTGCTTTCTTGCCGCATCCTCACAAAGGTGAGAGATTATCTCTCTGTCTCTTCTTATTCATGAGGGCTACACACTCATGACCTAATAATGTCCTAAAGGCTCCCTTTCCTCATACCATCACGTTGGGGTTAGGGCTTCAACATATGGATTTTGGGGGGAAACAAACATTGAGTTCGTAGCACATAGTAATCTCTGTTGCAGTTTCAGAATAGAATTGAAAATATGAAATTAAAACTGCACTTTTTAAAATCAGGTAATACAGATTTTTCCCCCCACAGTTAAATATGTTCACCTATATAGTATTCAGTTAATACTTTATCTAATTAATGGTTTTAAGAGGTAGGAAATAGGATCTTTATATAATATAATATTTCTTGGATTGGCTTCTTTAATTAGTAGAAACACTTTAACTTTTGGAAAGAATTAAAAATAAATTCAGTATCCGTTCTCAAGATGCTTTTTAAATATTCTGTCTTTCAGATTCTGAAAGGCTGTTTTTATAATTTCAAAATCATATTTAAAGATAAAATATAGGCCAGTATTTCTGAGAACAATCAATATGGTTAAAATGCTTTACTTTGAAGAAAAAAATAAAATATTGACAACTTTCTATTTAGAAATTAGTAGTATCATTATAACTTAAATCAGTTTAACTCCTTGGAAATTCAAATACATTTTATAAAGGTAAAATACTCTTGAAGGTAATAATATGAATAAATAATAGTCTTTAGTTAATGTATCAGTATTGGTTTGTTAATTGTAACATAGGCACCACAGTAATAGAAAATGTTAGTAATAGGCAAAACTGGGCATAGGGTAGGTATTACAGATGCCCCCCCCCCATTTCTCTCCCTTTACCCCTCTCCACTCTTTGTACTGTCTTCTTAATTTTTCTGTAAATCCAAAATACAGCCTATTTTTTGCAAATACCATTGGAGGTAACTGCAGACAGAAGTCAACTAGTTAAAGGCCCTTTTAAATATGCAGTACACACAGAGAGTTCAGTCATCGTGGCCTCTTTCCATTATAACCCCTCTCACACCATGGGACACACTCTGGATCTGTCCCATGCTGAAATGGCTGGTTCCTGGAATACAGGGAGAAACTAAATAGATTTGGAGGTGTGAGTACGTCTTCCAAGAATACTTGGCCTGGGGTCAAGCGGGGGCGAAATTAAAAGCCCCCCCTGAAAAAGTAGCTATGCACTTTTAGGTGTCATTTTCTGAATTAACAATAGCTTGTCTTTTTAAAAGTTTAACAAAATCTTGGAAATTGATATTGACATCTAGAACCATGAGAAATATAACACATACCAAAAAAATATGCTAAACCTTTCAGCCTGACAGTTGTTTACCCAAAACAATACTGTATTTGATTTTAACAAAAAGTATACTTAGCTTAGGTAAGTTAGTGTACAAAATATCTAATTTAACCTGGTTGTGAACATCAGCTAACAGGTGTTGCTATTAATATTTTTTTATTGTTAACAGTATTACAGATGTCCCCCATCTCTCCGCCTTTACCCATCTCCACCCAGCCTCCACCCCACCCCAGGCCCTTCCCATTATGCATGCTATCATAAAGAGATTTTTGAACATTTTATAGCTGCCTTTCATTTGTCAACAAGTACCTTATACACGTTGGTTCTAACATTTGATTTTTTTTAAATGAATTATGAATCCATTAAAAAGTATAACAGAAAAATGTATTTTAATTGATATCTGTAAGAATAAAATAATGCTCTTAATAAGTGCATTTTGATAAAAATATAGACTTCTTCAAGGATCATGTAAGTGGAGAGCTTTAAACAAAGAAATTAGTGGGAATTTGGTGTTTCCCCAAAATGGGCTTCAAAGAACAGTTTCAGGGCATTGAACCAGAGAGAAGAATTTGGAGAAGGAGGTTTTGGGTAGAGAGAGAGGAGCTAAGCAAGGGCGCTGTAGAAAATGAACATCATTCCAGCCCCCGTGACGGGGTTCCTGTGTCAGGAGCAGCAAATATCTAAGATAGACGCGCCCATTTTGAAGACTCCTTTGTCGGGCTGTGCAGAACCACCACTGGACTGGACGAACACAGGCCTTCATAGGCCCGGCTGTGTGCTGGTGACAGGCCTTGACAGGTGCTGGAGGTAAAGAGGTGGTGACTTTTGCGGGGGGGGGGAGGAGGGAGAGCAGCTGGAGCAGCAGAGAACCATTAGAACCCACAAGGCAGCAGGCAAAGCTGTGGGATGGATTTCGATGGAAACAGATGTTACCAAATTCTCTTCCAAGAGTTCCCAGATGGCTTGGAAAATGTACAAGCTGAAATAGGAGTGCAAGAAATGATGACGATAGAAAAGTGGTTTGTTTGACTTCCCAGGTTTGTGAGTTGCTGGAACTTGTAATGGGGTTGTTGAAATAAAGGATGGCCCAAGTAATTTGGAACTCATGGGGACAACGTGAGAAATGTAATATAGGCAACATCAAATTAGATAGACCTTCATAGGACACATAATTTTATATCATCCAGCATGCCATTTAATTCTTTAAGAAGTGTGTTTATACTCAACCACTATTTTGTTTTGAAATTTTAGTCTCAAAATATTTATTTTCTCACTCATATACTTCTTCGCACTATCTTGAAAGAGAAAACCTGCACTTGTAATAATGTATTATGAAGTTAGTAAGAAGTAGGCACTGTTAGTCATCCCACATTTGTTATTTTTTTCAGTTTTAGGCATATATACTCATTTATTGACTCTGAAATTCCCATATCCATATTTTCCTGCTAGATGATTTTCCTCGAATGTCTTTAAATATAACCTTAGAAAATTTTGAGTAAATTATAATGAAGATAATAATATATTTATAATGAATATATAGGCAACTTCATAGGCAATAGGCATCTACAGCTATTAATAGAAACACGTTCAAGATGAGAAAATATTATTTCGTTACATTTTGGAATATGATTTCAAAATGTATGGAACTTACTATAGTATTCTAAATTTAGTTCATTTTCTGTTCTCAGCTTTCTATGAAGTTCATCTGAAGCATAGAAAGTGATTCTGAAAGCAATTCAGAAAATGACTAAATTGGAATACTTGTCAGCGTAAACGCTGTGTACATACATCTAACAACATACTCCTTTCAACATTGGCTTAATACATATTAACAACTTTAGCAATCACTTTCAGAAATTTATGTCAAATATAAATAACTCAACTTCCCACAGAAGAAATCCTGTGTTTAAATAAGTGTACTTTATCCATATAGGAAGGCTGAAAACCAATATGTAAAACAAGCCATCAAAGTTATAAAAAAACTTTAAGGTTTCCAAATGTGGAATTTGTGTAAAAAATATGTTATTGCACATTTGCTGGTGGCCTGGGATTAAAAAAACTCTCCTATTTTTGGGCCCACGTCTTATTAAATAAGTATACTTTAGCCCATTTAACAAAATTTGTGACCTCCTCTGCAATAGGTAAAATCCAATTTGCTTTTCAGTCAACAAAGTATTATACCAAATGTCTTTCTCCCCACTCTGTTGCTCTCCTTTATGGCTTGGAGTTCATAAAGCTATTCCCTAGCCCGAAAAGAAAATAAACAAGCAAATGGCAGCACTTAAGGAGCCCCAGGCATAACACCTAGAGTAATCTGCAATATAACATTTATCAAGCAATAGTGAGTTACAGAACATGTGAGAAATTTGTTTCTGGAGGGAGTGGAGGGAGCTCATTGGAATCTACTTTGTCTCATAAAGGAAACACTGTGTTCATAAAACCACAGGAACATTCCGAAAACAGCTGTTTCCTTTCAAAATAGGGAAGCCACATCAGGTATGAATTTCACCAAAGGTATAGCTTAATCAAGTGTCCCATATTATGCAAAACACAATCCAGTCTGTAATTTCCAAATAGAAGATATTACAACTTTCCATTTTCTTATCACAAGAAAAACAGTTACACGTTCACAACAAAACATTTGCTACTTTTAAGTTACTGACTTTGAAAGTGAATTCTCATTTTATCAAATTTAATACCATTTACTTTTAGAAGCTCTTATGGAAGTTCTTTAGTGGTTATTGTTGTTGATGGTGTATCAATAGGCAGCCAATGAAAAAAATTAATAAAAATAACTAATTATAAATATACTCTCCCAAAATTGCTATCTCAGAAATTTTGGTGGAAATTTCTGCTATACACTTGTATAAAGTTTGGAATTAATTACAAGGAAAGTTGCTTATTTTGCTATAGATGTTCAATGTAAAAAATTTAAATAACAAGTCAATTCATATATTTTTAATTAGAAGCTCAAAGAAAATAATAGTGTTGAAATTATTTCATGTACCATTTGTTACTATCATTTAGCAAATAAATAAGAAATTAATTATTTGGGAATGATTGTGATAAGGAATAACAATTAATGGTGAACCATATTATTATTAGGAAAATCCACAGCACACTAATATTGGTTCAATTGTCAATTTTTGAAGAAAGATGTTTGGTGAAATAAGTTACTCAGACCTGATTTTAGAGAGCAATGTAGTTGAATAAAATAGAAACCATTATTCGCATATAATTGTCTGGGTTAAAGGAAAAATGAAAAGGCTAGTAGAAGAGAGTAAAAGGATCATTTGTATAGGTATTATGATGTTACTGGAACATATTCTTAATGCAGCAAATCACGTGGTGGACAAATATATAAAAAGAAAAAAGTCATTTAAAATATCTTTATCATTTAAGTTACTTTCAAAACTGCTATCCTTACCTCAAAATCGTATTCTAAAAGGATAGAGTGATACTAATCTACATTTGGAACAGATTTGTTACATACCATATAAATGGAGGATTCACTTGAGAATTACACACAATGATATTTAATATTAAATAATTTACTATAAAGAAATGACATATTTCAGTTAGGTAATTTAATTATTATAATTTATAAATTGTGTAAATGATATTACATTACTTGTGAAAGTGTTATGAAGAATCTTGTTTTCCATAAATAATATTTGTTGCTGTTTGCATTTATAGTTTTATGATCTCGACTCTTTCTTAGACTTTTAGATGTATAATCTTGCTTTCATCTTTAATGTATTGTGTTCTAGGGGGAAAGAATGACAATGATTGCTCATAATTCCCTTACTACTCACTAAATAATAGATTTAGCATTCAAAAATATTTATTTGGTACATACTATGTGCTGGACATTATAGATGGATATGAAGAATTATGCTGAGTCTAGGAGCTCACAACGATGCAGAACTAACTGTAAGGCTTGCATCTCCAACATCATAAATCCTTTTAGTTCCTAAAAGCTGTCCCATGCTCTCCAACTTCTTACTGAAGTTGAATACATACTATATATCAGGCATTGTGTTGTGCAAGAAAGAGAGACAGAAAATGATAACAATCAGGCACTTGATTTATCTATTTATATCAATCAGAGAAACAGAACTAACAGGGTATGTCTATCTTTCAAATAAATCTCTTTATAAATGTGGTCTGTGTTCTTATTGGGGGGAAAATGCTCAGATTCAATTAATAGTGATTTTGCCCAGTGAAGAAACATTCAAGTGTTCTTGTTGTGGGGCCCAAAGGCATATTTAAAGAACTTTTGTTGTATATTTTCATTGCCAAAGGTGTACTGAGCTGTTGTTTACCCTGTGCCCTTCCTATCCGTTAAATGTAAGAGAGAATTCTCCCAATTCAGGGACACCACCTGTAGTCCTGCAGAGAGGGGCCTTCTGTCTCCTCCAGGCTGCTCCAGCAGAAATAACATGGAATCTCAGGGGAGAAAGAGGAATCACAGCTTTAAAGATGTAATTGCTGCCAAAATTCCAGGAAGCTATTTCCCAGGAAAATATCACCACCTGNCATACCAAGGATGTAAGTCTTGAAGTAAAAAGACCATTCCACAATAATTAGTTACCACAGCATTAAAAAGAATTTGTTTACCAAAGAGAACTAAAAAGTCTTGAAGAATTAAAAAAAAAAAAAAAAAAAAAAGAGGCAGCTATTAACCTGCTTTATTGAAACAACCCCTGACTCACTGAGCCCATTTAGAGGTGAGTGGACTCGGATTCAACAACTAACAAGGTAAGGGTCCAATGCTCCTGAGTGGGAAACAGAAATTCTATATTTAAGAGCACAGACAAGCTGTACATGAAAAAGTAGCATCATCTCAGTTGTACATGAGAAAGTAGCAGTTTCATGTGGGGGGAAGCTTCACCCGTCACTCTGCTTTCCAAAGCAAAACCACTGGCTCTACGGCCCTTGATTTGGAGATTCTCCTAAATGCCTGGGCCTGGTTGGCTGGTGGCTTGGTTAAGATCAAAGTGGCTCATGTCATCTGGGTGGTAGTGGCAATCCAGCCTCCATGAGAGCTCGGGAAGGCCAACCACTAGGAGCCACTCAGCGCAAGGGCATGAATGAAGTCATTTCCCTTTCCTGAAACAATGCTCCGAAGGACCCTAGGGGTTCTCTTACTAACACTTGGGCTGTGGTCAATGACACAGCCACCTGGTCTGCCGCTTGGAAGTGCACAGACCATCAGACAAATACCCCTCTTTGGGGCCATGACTATAACTATAGCCTGAGCGGTCTGAGTCACTCACACTGATGTTCGCAGGTGAATGCAGATGAGACCAACTTGCTGATCAAGCCTGTGCCGGCCACGGCTACAAGTGTTCCCTGAGTCCATCATGGCACTGGACATGGCAACCTGTCCTCCTCATAGACTGGGAAAAAGTAAAGGTCACTCGAACTCTCCTCCTTGGGTCATAATGAATATAGACTGGCTTCAGACTATGTTGATTATCGGAAGAACTACTGGTACCCCTGGAACTTATTACATTGACCAAGACCCCAAGGGCAGGGGTCATTTTATATTGAGTACATTTCATATGAGCTGATCATTTTCAATACAAAAATTGTGAAGTATTGTCAATCAATACTTCAGCCACCTTCCAAATGCTAACAATTGTTCTGGTATTTTGGTGTAATTTAACATAAAATAGACTGCCCCAAAAGTAAATTAACAGAAATTAGTGATTTGTATTTATTATTTTTGAAATAATAAACCACTTATTGTATTTTACCATCTTAATCTACCTATAAACATTTCTAAACTAATTATAAATAATTATGATATAAGGAATTATTTTTTTTCTCTAATTTACAAAAAAATTGTCATATGAATTCTGGTATTGTCATATGTAGGCATTTACTGTCCCTCTGATTTTATTTTGACCAAGAGATGTGCTTTGTACAATGAGATGGAATTAGATAAAATTCAAGTAGAGGCTTTAAATGAGATTGTGTGGTGGTTTGCCTGTCCTTCTGCTGGCTTGTAAGAATCTATTGCCCCTTCAAGCAGAGCCTAAGGTGAACTCATGTGTTATAGACCTGAACCCCAAGAAAAACATAACCAAAGATATATATATATATATATCCCATATATATTTCATATATGTGTGTGTTTATGTATATGCGTATATATATATAAACATACACACACATATATATCCTAGGTATATTTTACATATTTTATACAGGCTATTCTATATATATGCATATATAGCCTATATGTGCACATATAGAGAATATATATAGGATATATAGAGGAGAAAGATGGAGACAAAGAAAAAAATATAGAGATTTCTTGTAAAGAATTGGCTCATGAGTTTGTGAGTGCTGACAAGTCTGAAATTTGTAAAGTAGGCCAGCAGGCTAGAAACTGAGACAGGATTTCTATGGCAGTTTTAAGGTAGAATTACTTCTTTAGGAAACCTCAGTCTTTGCTTTTAAAGATTTCAAATGATTGGAAGGGCTACCCACATCCATGGAGGATAATCTGATTTACTTAGACTAAACTGATTATAAATGTTGATTACATCTGTAGATACCCTCAGAGAAAATCTAGACTAGTGTTGACCAAATAACCGCAGCCTAAACAAGTAAATACATAAAATTAATCATCACCGTAGAAAAATAAATGTGGTTGTTGGAAGTCACTGAGATTTGAAATGGATTTTAATGAAGCATTATTGTTGCAAGGAGGCCTAATTCCAACGTCTAGAATTATTATATGTATTATGTTTCTTCTATCCCTATGCAACGTAAGACTATTATTAAGAATGGTACCTGGACTTTGGCAAGCTCCCTTTATGCACTTCTTAATGGATCATGGCCTTTTAAAACCATTATTTTGATGATATAAAAACTTAACTTATTTTAATAATGATTCTAACATTGACTCTATACTTCAATTAAAAATAGATTGTAATTATTCTTATACTCTACCTAACTTTATCTGATAATAATTTACTTTCTATTTAAATGTATATCTATAATTAAAATCTATAATTTCCATTTTTAATGGCATTCTCCACATAGTTACTGATACCTCAACCTGGGTTTCCAAATTCAGTCCATCTAGTCAGGAGAAGAGCCCCAGCCAGCGCAGCCCTCGTAATATAAGCAAGAGACCTTTCATGGAAGTTGCCAATATTTTAGGCTTCTTAGTGCAGCCAAGGTGGCTAATCAAGATGAGGCTTTACCCCAATTACTTTCACTCAATTTTGAATATAAAGGCATTTAAGACCTTTTCAAGTTAGTGGTCCATCAGTTTTGTTATTAAGTATGCTCCCATTACTTTCCTGATGATTGTAATTTCAAAAGTATTTCCTTTTGGGATTCAGGACTTAAACATTATTTATGAGAGCATTGCTTATATTTAACAAAGTAGTTCAAATTTTTATATCATATTTTTAAAATTTATGTCTGAATTTATTGAATTTATGGCAATATATACTTCTTTAAAAACCTTAATACTTCCCTTAGAGCCAAATACATGATTGATTTTGTAAATGTTCCACAGATACCAATAAAAGAATATAAAATATATATATTCAATATTCATAGAATGCAAAATCAGATATTTCTGTCTGAGTGAAGTTTATTACAGTATTCAGCTCCGATATGTTCTAATTTATTTATTTCTACAAGATCTTCCTAATTCTGAAAGAGATATATTACATTCCTTGAGTATAGTTCTATTTTTATTAAGTTCTCCCTGCACTTCTAATAGATTGGGCCTTATGTTAGGAATGCTTCGCGGTTTGGTGCTTATAGTGTTTTGAAGAATGTGTCCTTCAAGCAAATTGTCTTTGATCATTACGAAAAATAATATTTTACTTTAAGAGCTTTTAACCTTAGAAGAGCATTTTCATTTCCCTTTGCTCCAACTCACCACACCTATTTTTTAAAATGATGTACTATTTATAGGAGATTAGATTTGCTTGTTTGCTATACGAATACTTCATTTCAACAATTTTTGCTTAGCCTTGATAGTACAAAATTTCAGGCAGGCTATCACTGGATTAACTATATATAAAGTGTCATTGCTCACAACTTTTGTTTTTCCCTTTCAATTTATCTCCTCTTAAAGCATCTATTTTCAGTCACTTATAGTTGTTTGGAGCATTTTCTGAATTATTTTCCATCAACAAGGTAACTAAAATTGGGAGTCCCTAGTTTCACTTTCAGCTCAACAGGATCATTAATCTGCCCATAAACTTCTTTCGCCCTTTTTGCCCAATAATCTACTGACATTTTTAAACTACCAATTTTAATATTTTTCTTTGAAATAGAAATAAATTGTTTCATCTATTAGGAAACTTCTAATTTTTAAAAAAATTCTCAAAATTCAAAAATCATAGGAGATTGTCAGTCTCGCCCCTCTTTTCACCAAGACACACATATACACACACTCAAAATTTATTCTTTCTTTTCTCCTGGGCATATACTTGCTTAGCTTTTCTACTTTTCTAGCTTTTCCGGTAACCAGGCTGAGCCAGGTTGCTGCCAATGGAACATGGTTTGAAAGTTGTGTACATCCTTCATTTTGCATGCCTTCAAAGAAAAGAGTTGCCCATGGTTGTTGGGGTTTTTTCCCCTCTCATCCCATGGGTGGGAGTTCTGCTAATGAGGACAATGTCTTTGAGGATGGCATTAACCACAGTACAGCAGAAACCAGCTTCCAGATTCATCTCGTGAAGCAGATAAATTTCCCTTATAGGTTAATTAGTTAGACTGCTGAGTGGGAGAGGAATAAACTTCTATATGATTTAACTTCTCTGCTCTGTTGTGGGGGACAGTCTTCTTCCTAGTGGTTCTCAAAGGGTGTCCTGTGGCCCACTGAGGGTGCCAAAGACACTTTCAGGGTGTTGGTGAGATCAAACCACTTTTCAAAATAATACTAAGAAGTCACTTCTCTTAAAAAATGGTGTGTAAGGGTATTGTCACCACACTATACAGGTTGTGACTTTATTGCTCACTGCAGTGCATTCACAAGGGAAAAACAGGGCAGTTCCACTTAAGAATGTCCTCCAGGAAAAAATAATAATTATAATTTACCGAACTTTGACCTTTGGATATATGTCTTTTTAGTATTCTTTGTGAAAGCATAAGAAATATGCATGAAACAGTTCTACTACATACTGATATAATCATCAACCTCAGCAAAAACGCTCATGCAATTGCATGAGCTGTCAGCTGAACTTGATGCTTTTTTCATAGAAAACCATTTTTACTTGAAAGAATCAAAGTATGGTTATTCAAGCATGAATATTTGGCAAAAGAAATGCAGTTGACAGTTTTTATTGATGATGATAAAATTTGAGCTTTCATGGAAAAATTAGAATTTTGGAAAACGTGTGCCTCCTATGAGACCTGGCAGCTTCTCAATACTCACAAC